AGTGAGCAGCACTGGCATGCATGCAACATCTCTTCAAGGTGGCACTCGCTCTGGGCCGACTGTTCGTCTGTAGATAAGACTGGAGTATCACTGCAGTGGCTTGTTTTGTGTCATAGACCAAAGGTTAGTATTGAACCGGGCACCCTGTCTTCTTGGACACTTGAGTGTCCATCACCTGCTGTTTGCTGCACACTGCACGTACTGTATATTTGTAGTAGCTGCTATGTTCTCATTTTAGTATATCCTGTAGTAGTGCTACATGGAAGTGAGACTTGTACATTTGCTGTAGAGTATATTGTTTCTTCGCTAGAGGTGAACTGTGTTGTTTCTCTGTTTGACATTTGCATTCTTTATGAAATTCTACATTTTGGTTAAAAAATACATAGCTGTATTGAGTCAGCTATAACACCTGCTCTGATTCACAATGCTTGAAATTGAATTAGCAACTGAGCATAGGAGTTAGAATAGCTAGCTGAAGGTACAGGATAAATGAGAATGCTAAAGGTAGTGGTTAATGAACATTTGAAGTAGTTAAACATATTGGACATGTTGTTAAAATGGATCAAACTATTGGCTCAGATCATGAACTGTTACATCAGAACAGTTTAAATACCTAAAAGTAATTAGAATTAGTTATCTAAAAGTACAACAGGGGATAAATGGGTGAAATAGTGTCATAAAGTGGCAAAGCTGGGAGTGCACATGGTTGAATCAGGCGGTTGCAACAGCTCTAATATTGAGTCATCTGCCTGTATAAGAAAAGCAAACCTCCTACATCAGCTCATCTGAGCGGTCTGATTCCAGCCCAGCCTTGTTTTACAGTACTTTAACAACAGCCCTTCAAGCTGCAGCATATGCACAGTGTGTACATTAGCTCAGTCTGAAGCCCTTCATCTGATGCGTACACAAACACACACACACACACACACACACACACACACACACCTTTTGGATCCAGGCTTATCATGTTATTGCATTGGAGGATATGGGAGCCTTGGATTGTTTGGACTAGTTTCTTGGCTTTGGCCGCTAACAGGGTGGCACTGAACTTTCTGCAGGTTGCTTCTTATCTTGTTGTAGTGATTGCGTGTGCGTCTTTACTCAAGGTCTGTGCTAACCAGGTACTGCTGTGTGACAATGGATGAAAAGTGGTTTGTGGATTAAAGTGTGACCTTCACAGACACAGAAGTTTGTTTCAGTCTGGCCATGATCTTGTTATTAAGACATTGTCACAGACCCACAGACTCTTCAAACTGATCAGTGACAAAAATCCTAATTATGTAGAAACAGACTGGATTATTAGAGCACTAACATATTGGAATTGCTCTGGCTTTTTGCTTCTTTAGGTTTGTGATAGACTCCAAACAAGTACAAAAAGCAGTGTGCAGTGAATGAAATGACTTTTAAAGTGTCACAGCTGATTCTGAAAACTTGTGTATAATTGAATTCTGCAGCTTGTGCACTGAGCCATCTAGCCAGTCTCGTTGTATTAAATCAAGTGGCTTTTGTGATTATAGCAAGTTTTCAGTTTTATGTTTAACCTACTAAAGTTTGAGAATATAATATGGCTGTCACAGGCACTTTTTTCTTACAAGTTTACTGAATTACAACAGCCAGATGGTATATGTCGTTTTATTGTGTGTCTGTGTGTGCATGTGTGGTTACTTGCACATTTTTTATGATTTAATTTCAGCCCACATGCCATATCTCAACCGAAACTGGCCCAAATCTGGCAACCTATACTGGCCCAGATCTGGCAACCTATACTGGCCCAGATCTGGCTCAGTGTTGGTGAGCCAATGCCGGAATTCAACCGAGTGTGCCGACACTTAGCCAGAATCGGCCCAGATCCGCTGGCTACCTGGGATTGCTCTGGCTTTTTGCTTCTTTAGGTTTGTGATAGACTCCAAACAAGTACAAAAAGCAGTGTGCAGTGAATGAAATGACTTTTAAAGTGTCACAGCTGATTCTGAAAACTTGTGTATAATTGAATTCTGCAGCTTGTGCACTGAGCCATCTAGCCAGTCTCTTCTGTGGTTGCCGTGTGACATGCTGAGCCTCAGCCGTCCTCTCTGTCTCCCTCTTTAGCAGAGGTCAAAGGTCACACCAGCATAGAGCTGTTAATCTGATCGCTTCTTTATTTTCATTCTTTTGTTTGTAATGCCTGAATTACATGCATGCACACACATAACTCACATCTGCAGATACAGTATATCTTACATGCACAGGCATAAATATGCACGTTCCCACTCCTTTCTCTTTTCTGATATAGTCATAGCAACTGGGCTGCTTCTGCCTTTTGAATAGTCTCAGCCCAGTTGTTTGCTACACCTCCTGTTTCTAGGCTAACTAAAAGAGGCAGGCACAAAGCAGGAACAAATTCACTGCTTAAATCAAACTGAATTTCAGTACATATAGTTCTGTAGCACTGTTTTCTCATTTTCCTTCTTTGTTTATTCATTACAATAACACAGACTCGTTGATTTAAAGAACCAGGTCGACATTTTGGTAATATGCTTATTTTCTTTCCGATAGAGAAGCTACAACAGTGACTGGAAATGGGAGGGATGAGCCAGTCTGCTCTGTCCAACTGTAGCTAAATTAGCAAATCAGCGCTGCTAAAGCTCAGTAATTTATACATTATATCTCATTTATTCATTTCATGCAAATATATAAGTGTACAAATGACAATTTGTTGTTTTATGGGGGTCATGTACAGAGCCAAGAAATAATCAGGCACATAATGTGCTGTAAAATGAGGAATTGCCTTTTTAAAATTGTGTACACATTAAAGAAACAAGATATTACACATTTATTAGTGAGCTTTAGAGTTACACTGATTTTTATAAGTTTAGTAACTGATCACCTGATGCTTCATCAGAAAGCAAATAAGTGTTTTCCAAAATGTTAGCCTGTTCTATAAAAACTCATAGATTTGGACTTGTAGATAGGAGTGTCTCAGGAAAAATCTCAAATAAACTTTTTGTACAAATATTTTTTCACTGAATTGCAATAAAGATAGTTTGTACAGCACTTGGCTTAAATATTTGGGGTTTCTGTTGCAGCGTGTAGAAAACGTCTCCTATGACTAGCTCTTGATCAGTTCTGTGGAGAGTGCACATTTATTTTTTACTACACAGAGCACATTGGGGTTGGTCAGAGCTGAGCTCCTGTTGCCAAGTGCCATGAAGGTGGTGTTATGTGGTGGAGCAGGCAGTGGTGATGCTTCCAAAATGAAGCCAAATGTCTCTGTGTCACTATTAGTGTCAGTCATCTCTCTTTCTTTAATCATGCCTTTTGTCCAGTAGTTTTCCTTCTTCCGTTCTTCTCTCGTTTGCTCTTCACTCAGAAAGGGGTGGCGCATTCCAAAAGCCTGGAGACCATTCCTCTCTTTCAGCCAGTGGTCCAGAGTGACAGAGGAATTAGAATAAGAATAGCTGCCCATTCACGGAGGGAACAAGGGAGGGCGAAATGTAGGGGGAACAGGAATGAACCGGGGTCCCGCACACACTCTGCATTCTCATTGGCCCACTGTGTTCCCTCTGTTTTTTCATTGCTGCCGTCAGTTGTGATTTCGAGTTTGCTTTACGCATACACACCACACAAGTGCATGCACGCGTAAATATACACATCGGGGTCCAGGGCCTGTACATTTGCACACTGGAATATGGGAAGCTAGGCACTCATGCACACTGTCACTCCAAACTGGCCTCCAGAGACTTCTGACCACACAGTGCAGAGGAGAGCGAGGTGACCTGGCTGTGTGAGTATGAAACTAGAATGAGTTAATGCTGTGTTAGTCTAAGAATACATTGTTTAAGTGCAACGCTGGCTGAAACTCCTGTGTTTTCGGCGGATTGGCCTTATGGTGAAGGTGTTAGATTAAAGTGTGATCTCATGGCGTCACCACTTCTCTAGGTCGTCTGTGACTTGGTTGCAAACTCTTAACTGTCTAGCTAACATGAGACAAAAGGCAAGTAATAAACATGTTTATTATTTAGTTTATTGTGATAATTGCAGCTGTTGATCATAATTGATCATCTTCATGTCTTTGGGGGGCTTTTGCTCCTCAGTCAGTGAAAGATAGGAGGGTTCTGTATATATTCCTGTCTTCATCTCTAAAGCTCACTGACAATGAGGCATCACAGTTCTTCGCCGGTCTCTGCACTCAGACACAGACTGGGGGCTGTGCAGTGAGAGGCCCCACAGCACCAGGGCTATGGTAGTAATAAAGGATGGGCTTACGGCTTTGTCTTGTCTCAGCTGCACTATTGTGATTTCACAAACGCCGTGATGGATGGAGAGATGGCCCTGTACTCTATAGCCCCCAAACCAGCCTTGATTCAAACACAGTTTTATGCTATATGGTCTGTTTGGACTAAACAACACCACTAACCACATAACTACATAAATGAACATGTCTTATTTCCCATGTCTGTGTTTTTCTGTTTCCACATTGTCGCCCTGCGTTTTTTCCTCACTCATGTCCCCCCTCTCTACCTCCCTCTGTAACAGTTTAAAAAACGCTCAGTTTGAAAAATCTGGCATTATTGTGTAAAATAACAGGATTTCCTCAACCCATAAAGAAAGAAAAAACAGTTTTTTATAGTCATATTATGCTACTCTGTACTGTCAGTGTCACTGCCTGTGACATAAATGCTATAATATGAAACTGATCAAGAAAAGCAGTAAAGTAAAACAGATTTCATTTGAGCAGTGTTGCTGCTAAAGCTACTGCCATTCTTCAAATCTAAAGGTCGTATTAGCATGAGTGCAGTCACCGATTTACTACAGGTGTAAACCCATTGAAGTGAGTGTTGACATGTTGTCGGTTCACTCGGCAGCACAAATGGTACCTCTAGTGTGAAATAGAGACTGCTCGCTGTGACGACTGTGGCCTCTGTTTTTTTTCTGTCAGCTGTTTTCCTATAAAGGAAATGTTATATGTTTTATTGATGTGTATGCCACCGTCTCAAAAGATTTTTGTCTTTCTGTTGCAGCCAGGGAGACAGCTTGGAGTCCATGCGATCAGGCATCTTGATGACCATCATGGCTGTGTATCTGAGTCTCCTCTTGCTGGGTGAGTGGAAGTAATAAATCAGGTGTGAACACAAGATGGAACAGAACTAAAAGGCACAAATACATCTGTTCTGACTGAACAGTGTATCAAATGTGTTGGGTTTCTTGGTGTGGGGAAGCTGCCTATATGCTGTTGTAAACAGGTGTGAATAATGAGAAGCAGGTGAAACCAATTTGGGTGATAAGATAAAGTTCCCGGGAGTCAGAGTGAGCTGGGGACAGGAAGTAGTGTCAAAATAAAAGCATGAGACCAGAAGCAGTGGGACAGAACCATGACAGCTATCAGATGGCATAATGTATTTGATGCAACATTAACTGATTAGTCAGAAATATAAAAGAAGAAATGGCACCTACCTATTCCAATAATTCAACTCTATCAACAGAAACTACCACACAGTTCTAAATGGCATGTGACCTGTTAGAAGTGCAGTGCAGAAGCATCACTTGTCACAGAAGATGGAAACAAGACAAACTAAATTTTGGATGTCAGAGCTTCCCACTTGTTATCAACACTGACTGCTGCATGTGAAAACCCTTGACATGTTTTGTTTCCTGCACTGCAGTTGCACCTCCAGCAGAAATGTTGTTTTACTGATTAGCCTTTAGTAAGAAGGCAAATACACAGGTCTCATCCCCTCTAGTCTCCAGCCTGCGTAAATGTTGAGCGTATATGTGCAGAAGTCAAGTGTGCCTTGGCATTGTTTGCATCTTGGAATGTTTTCTCTAATGAAAAACATTCACTCCCTGTCACTGCATTCCTGTCATAGTGCTAGATGCATGAAATTGGAAGCTCCAGGGTGTGTTTACCTGTGACTCCTCCCCTTTGTTTGTTTGCTTTGTGTGCACGTGTGTAGTGTTTTTCATTCTCATGTGTTTCTGTAATCACACACTAGCAGAGCAGCTGGTGTCAAACATTGTCTGTATAGCTGACTTTACTTCAGTTCACGCTTATGCATCTTGGCCCTGCTTTCTGTTTGACAGTCAGTATTCCTTGTATTTTTGATAATACTTGGCAGTAAAGTTTATGCTACATTTTTTTAGCTTTTTGTAAAATGTATTTTAATAATATCCCACAAACACACTCTAAATACAGGACACAGGCACACAAATATATATTGTGCAGACATATTATAACAAATGTTAATACAGTCGCAAACACAAACTTAATGACCTCAGTATGTTGGTGCATGCAGCACTGCAGTAATCCAGTGTGCACGTACACATTCTGATGTTCTCCATGCTAGTCAGGGCAGGTGAAAACCAAGTCAAGGATATGTTTCCTGCAGGCCACACAGAGAAGGGGGTGAGCACTATTGTCATGTGCCAGAGCCATGTGTTGCATGTGAGCGGGAGCCGAGACAATGGCTTTGCTTTGTAATTATCGACATAAACGCCTTTCTTTTCTGCTTCAGCAGTCTGACAGAGGGGAGAAAGCTGTTTGGCTCTGGAACATTCCACGCATGTGTGGTGTATTTCTAAACACAGCCTCAGTCAATAATTAAAACCGAGGGTAATTTATGACTATAATGAGAAGTATGTGCCTAGACAGACTGACGAGAGAGGATGTCGTAACACATCTGGATGTTGCCTCTATCACTCTCTCTCTACTGGCTTTAAATATGTACAGTAACACACTGATAAACTGTGCGTCTAAGAAACCAGGGTGGATCAAAACATGAGGGCTGAAGTGAGATGCTGCTTAAAAATAAGAATAAATTTGGAAATACAGCTCAAATTCAAACAGAATGATTGAAGTGACCTGCTGGATGCTAGTTTTGTTCACTGACATGATTTCATGTTGTGTGGCTTTTGCTGTTTTGCCAAATTTCTCGACCCCTATAAAAGTTTTTAATCTTAAAATAACATGGGATGAGAAACATTGATTGGATTTACTTATTATTGGGGTATATATTATTCATTTTTCAGTTTGTTAACTTTTCTATATTTACATTATGTAGTGGCAAAAATCAAATCACATACTAAAATGAGATGGAAAAACAGGGGCACTGGATGCCGAAACATTTTATGATAAATGAAATACTTTTAGAGTAAAGTCATAAGGTGTTGAAAATGAAGACAAGAAAATACTAGAAAAGGTGAAATATTTTCAGATAAAGTTGTAATATTTCACATTGTTTTATAACAGTGGTCCCATCTCTGTTGTTATTCTTATAAGAGATATAAATCTTTGCACAGTGCCAGTAACTTGGCATGTAATCACTTATATCTGTAGCCAGCAGAAGTGAAAAGAACCTAAATCTATGAAATAGCAGTGCTGCAAGGGATCACAAATCAAGCTGAACCACAGTGACATCTGAGGACTCGATTGCATCTGGATTGGGTTTCTCCTTGTCTGCTGCAATCCAAAGCCAATGTTCAAGGCGATAAGACATACTCAGTGCCTCATGCAGCAGGTTATTTGACCAGTGAGTGAACCCATTGTGCAATGTCATACCTGTAAAGTGAGGTCAGGTGAAACAGTTGCTCTGTTTCTGTAAGGAAGGGGCTGATTGAGTTGGAGGAGGGTGTGTATCCAGTGTTATTTTCAGCTTTAATTTATGCATCCTTTAATTTACCATAGTAAGACACACTGCGTTCTTTCATGCCGTTCTTTTTTGTGCCGGCCTTGTATCTGTACATTACAGCCTGGTGCAGCATTGCTTTGTGTTGTATGTTTGGTCTGGGTGTGACTGATCTTTATCTATAGCCCACAGGCTTGTCTTCTAACCCATGTGCGATTCTACATGTGCACACTGTACATGTGTGCACCTGCCTATAGAAAGTCTCTCTTTACTGTTGTCCCTCTGTACTATGAGGCTGATTGTATTTCCTGGCAGAGTTCCAGTACAATTGTTAACTATGTAAGCCAGGCATCGTTAATGCTTCACAGGAATTCAGAAAATCTGACCCTGTTAAATCTTTTACCTGAGCTGGAGACAGTATTTATACTTACATACACTACTCCCGTGTGTGTAGAAGGACAGGAGGAGCTGTAGCTCTTTCTAGTCACAGAAAATCTTTCGGTATTCATTACAAAGATTGGATATTAATTAACTTACAGCTACTATTTAATTATGTAGTACATTTTTTTTTGTATTTGGTTTTAAGGTCACCAGTCTGTCACAGGCCTGACATACAGTATCTAGACAGACAAGCATTATTAAACCTATGGGCAGTTTAGAGCTGTTATTCAACCCAACTTGAAGGCACAGAAAAACCACAGCCCAGAACCTTCTTGCTATAAGGGAACAGTGCCATCCACTGCACCACCCTGCCATCTGCTATTCTTTTGCAGTAATGGTCCAAAGCAGTCAATTAAACTTACTAGACCGACTATACTAGCTGACACCAAACAGATTTAGTTATGAAAAATAAAACTGACACGATCCCCTTGTCAGCAGTGCACAGTGAGACAACCATAGACTGTGCTGTATATAAAGATGGATGACACATCACCATTTCCTGCCATTATGTAAAAGTGAAGCCTACATTTTGTGAATATGGGTGCTGCCATCTTGCTTTTGTGATATATTCCATTTGTACATGAACTGAATTTTTAGTTTGGCTCATGTCCCATCCACTAACATGGAGGAGGTGTGGATTTTGACTATAATGCAACCAGCAACTGGCGACGATCTAGTTGTCGTGGCTTCACTCCTGGGAGCTGTCATGTTGTCCATTTTCATATGCATCATGTGCTGCATGCATGAATTACAACCGTGACATTGTTTTCCTGACACCACAAATGTTGTAGTCACAACACTGGTATATACAGGAAATGAGTGTTTAGAGCTCTACACCATTAGAGACTTATCTGTTTAATGCAGACAGCTCCTTTTGTAAAGAGGATGCTTTTAATTCCAGCTCAAACCCCCTGTGTATTTCCCATCAGGTCTCAACATGTTGCTGTCTGTTTTCCTCGATCAACAAGATGAAAGGCCCTCTGATATCAGTCTTAGCATCTCTCGTCACTGGAGTCTTGTGTTTTAGGCACGTTTCATGTAGGCGGTCCATATAAACAGGCTGGCTTTATGTTAATTCAGATTCTGTATATCATAGGGTCTGGTGGTCTTTTTGTCATGTCAGGAACAGTCTGTCGTGCCTGAACCGTCTCTACTCTGTCTTGATCAGTACTGAACTGCTTTTTGAGCCTCTTGTTTTTGTTTTTCTAAACTCGGTCCAGCTACAGAGTTTTTTTGTTCATTTCTCAGTTTTGCTTTAACATAATTTATCTCATTGTCTGTCTTTACTCTGCTTAGAATCTGTGATGCAGATGGGTGAGGGGGCAGGTTTGACGGAACAGGAGCAGATAATATTTTATGAATGTGCTCCTTCTTAGACACTGACATATGTTAAGGTTTCATTATTCATGGGATGTCAGGCATTGTCTAAAACATTTTACCACACCAACAGTCTTATTATTTCTATTCATAATCCACCATGCTTCTTTGTGGCCAGACATGCTATGAGGAAGATTAAGATTTAAGTTTATACTGTAGATGATGAGTGAACAGGTAAATATGCTTTAACTCAGATACTTTCATCTTCTGATTTGTCTGCTATGCTGTGTTAAACCAGTTGTTCACCATAAGTTGCATACATTTATAGTTTCTACAGGCTATATAGATTTTTTTTTAATGAAAATATACATGCAGTATGCTGTCTATCAGGGGTCAACCAATGATCATTGAGCCCCCTAGTGGTCTGCAAAGGCATTGCAGGTGGTCCCTGACCATACATTTAATAATGTAGTTTCACTGTAGGAAACACTGTATTTTTAAATTTAAAATTAACAACGAGGTCTTTGGAAGACCAAAGTAAAGGGGTACTAAGTATACTGAGAACAGTGAGAATCCACAGTCTGCCACAGCTGTGCTTACTACTTTTGTGAGGATGTGTGTGTACCCACCAAGACCTTCTGCACATACAACAACAAAAAGCCCTGGTTCACAGTGAAACTCAGCTCTGTCATGCCAAAGAGGAGGCCTACAGAAGTGGGAACAGGATCCTGTACAGGCAGATCAGGAACACATTGACAAAGGAGATCAGAGTAGCAAAGACGAGCTACTCCGAAAAGCTGAAAAACCAGTTTTCAGCCAGCAACCCTTCGTCTGTGTGGGGAAGCCTGAAAAACATTACTGGCTAGAGGAAACCATCCCCTGCTGCTGTGGAAGTCCATCAACTGGCAGATGACCTGAATGTGTTTTACTGTAGGTTTGAGAAGCAGAACTCCACATCCCTCATCCACCTCACCTTGGACCCAGCAATGACTTGATCTACACCAACGACTGCCCCTCAGAGGATCCCGTCTGTTAAACTCCTAAAGTTCGCAGATGACACAACGGTCATCAGTCTCATCCGAGACAGTGACGAGTTGGCCTCCAGATGGAAGGTTAAACAGGTGGCCCTGTGGTGTGGGTGCAACAACCAGGAGCTGAGCATATCAGCGGACAGTCAGGACTGCAGAAAAAATCACCAGTGCCCGCCGAAAAAAACTTAGAAAAATCAACTGGACTAGGTTTTTGAACTGATAAAGCCTTTTGGATGAGAGGTGAAACATCTTCAACCTCAAAAAAAACCTAGTCCAGTTGATTTTTCTAAGTTTTTTCAGCTTACTATGATCTGGATGACTGAGAATCTGCACAGACATCAGTGCCAGCCTGCCCTCCATGGAGGACCTGTACACCCTAACAATCATCTGTATATATCTGGAAAACTCCATCTAAACAGTGTGGATACTGTATATATTTCTATATTTATAAGTACTTTATTTTTATTTTTATTTTCCTAAGGCACATTCCTGTTTCTTGTTTGCACATTTTTTACTTTCTTGTTCTGTCAGCCTTATCTTGTTCAATTGTTTACTCATTGCCTGATGGAAGAACATTGTACATATACACTGAGAGCCGCGGCACCGGAAGCAAATTCCTCGTGTGTCCAACACACCTGGCCAGTAAAGCTGATTCTGATTCTGATTCTACTTTGCAGTCAACTTCAAACTGAGCAAAGATATAATTATCAGTTGACAACTGATAATATACTTTTCATTATACTTCACGTTCTCATGAAATCTGAAATCCTTGAATCAAGCAAACTGGATTCAGTGTTGTTACTCATTGCTTAAATTATTAAGAGGAGCTATTCTCACAGGGTGTACTTCAATGTAATGTTGGGACCATTATCATCAATATATTGGCTTTCTTCTTTGTTTCTACCCTCCCCCCTTCCATTTGCAGCTCTCAGTGTCCTTGGACAGGAGCTCCCATCAGGCACTCATATGTGCACGGAGGGAAGCTGCTATCCTGCGACAGGAAACCTTCTGATTGGACGGGCTGTCAATCTTACTGCCACATCCACATGCGGTCTGAGAGGACCAGAGCACTACTGCATTGTTAGTCATCTGCAGGTAAGTACACACATTCAAATGCACCATGAAAGTGATGAAAGGTTTCTGCTACATGTTCATTCAAAGCATCCAACTTTGTGCTCCTATAAAAATGGGAGCAGCTGATTTGTGATTAGGATTTTCCATCCATTCCTTCCAGCTAATGGAAAACTAATCATGCAAAGCTTTTTGTAAACCTTGTGTCATTCACATATGCTTATTCCACAGCTGACATTTTCTGTCACTGCTGTGACAACACTGCTTCTAAAAGTTTCTTCTGTTCCCTCGACTTCACTCCCCCACCTTCCTGTTCTCTCAGCACCCAGCTCCTCCCCGCAAATTCACAACACCCTGTAGCCAATACAAAAGAAAAATCTCATCGTGTGTTTATTCTCTCTTATGCACTCATCCCTCAGTCTTCGTTCTTCCATCTTCATTTGTTCGTCTGTCTGTTTGTATCGTGGTTTCCATGAGCAAGGCCTCCCAGGACTGCAGCGTTTCAGTATCAGGCACCAGGTGTACTGTAGACACATCAGCCTGTCGTCATCAGTGTGAGAATGTTGTGTGTCAATGGGTGAATGGTGTATGATCTTCTGTAAAGCGCTTTGGCCAGTGCAACACACTGTGAGAAAGCGCTATATAAAATACAGCCCATTTACCATTTACCATCAGTCAGCCACACTTCCTTCATCATCATATTTCTCTCACTGTCTTGACCTCGCTGTTTTAACTTGTTCCCTCTTTGACTTCTCACTTTTGTCTTTGTTTGTCATCTCCTTGATTGCTGATGCCCATGATCACAACACGATTTACAGGCTGGTCACACAACACAGAACAACTATTTTGCTTTCAGATTTTGGTTTGTTTTCAATACCAGTCTTATTTAATTCATATATTTGTCATTCCTAAGCCCTGCTCACACTAGGCATGTAAACAGATAAAAGTACAGATCTCTGTGCATGAACAGAGAATATAATCACCAGCACAGTTTATCACAGACATCGTTCCACAGAGTCATAACTCAGTGAAATCAGGTCACACAGACCTCAGAGCTGTGAAGAGTGCTCCGGCACCTGTGGTCCCAAAAGTAAGAGCACACTTCTTGCATATGTCCAAATTAGGTAAAGTTTTGTAAAATAAACAGATACAACTAGTTGCTGTAGTTACACGCAGCAACTTTACTTTATACACTCGTTTTCCACAGCTGTATGTGTGGGACAAAACATGGTTACAGTTTCTCCCTCAACTCGACATGACATGACATGACTCCTGACATATTTACCATCATGTTGACATTCACCAAGTACACTGCATTTCTGTCCTCCTGCATGTACGTGCCTGCACTCCCATTATCTCAGGGTCGGAATATTCAACAGTGTCAACTTCCAGGTGGGCGTGGTCGACATTCTTTGATTGGCGAGAGGCCATCTAAGGAGCAGGATATGGCGACAACCTGTCATTTCATACAGTAAATCCAGTGCTGAACTATTGCTAGCTTAACTGCTATCAAGCCAGTTGCGTTGTTGAAGTCCTTTGACATGGTGCTGCTTTGGCCCTTAAACCCAAATTAGTCTAGATAAGCTTCTGTCAAAAGAATGGGAGAAGATGTAGAAATGTAAATGCCAAACACCGAGGTGGAAAGGGGAACATAATGTCGATCATAGTGTGACAAAGAATGACTTCTAATCCAGATCAGCTGGGTATTGTTGGAGCAGAAAGCCTTATAGTTGACCTGAGCAGGCTTGACTAATGGGAGATAAATAAGAGCTCATTGGAGGAAGGGAGGGTCTTACAGCCACACGAGCTTGCACCATGCACTATCTGAAGACTCACAGAGTCCTTGAAAGAGAAGATGAATAGGATTCATGTAAACATTAAAGCTATAAACCTAAACTTTGTAAACAAAAGTGAAATGGTTCTTGGTTAAGTAGGCTGTTTTTTGCTACACCTGCTCTAAAAACATTTAAAAGCTTGCTCATGGATTTGATAAAGTCTGTGAAGCTGCAGCGACTATAGTAAGGCTCTGTAACGATGCATTAGGATGGAGGGGTTGTTGTGCAGGAAGGAACGTCTTTTCAGCAGCTCGGCTCTGAGATGAGGGTGTGAGCAGATTTGTGCTGGGATTAGGGAGGGATACTGAAAAAGGCAGGCACACGTAAAAAAAACACTCATACATACACATAGACAAATGGATGTGTTGGTGTGTGGTCACGCACATCCGCATACATCTACACACATCACTTCCAGCACACTTCAGCCACTGCTTTTCAGTTCTCCGCCAAGTTCCTTCAAGGCCATGTTGTTGTTGCAGACTTAATCGCCCCTAACGACAACCTAGTAATTAAGAGAAACTGCCCTGGAATCTGCTGTTTTTCTGTGCCAGCTTACCCTCATCTCTGTGTTCAGCCCTCTTCCCCCTCTCTGCCAACCTCTTCATGGCCCCCTTTCTCAGTATCTCCCTCATTCTCTGCTGGCCCCTTCCTTTGTGCTTCACCCCGGCTGTGCTGTTTCGGACCCCTCTCTGCTGCATACTTACTTCTCACACTTCTGCAATTCCTTTCTCTAACCTTCCTTTATAATTTTTCAAGAACACCTTTTTATCCAAACTCTTGCTCTTGGCCTTGGTCCCCACAATTCTGTACTGTATCTTTCCCATGCTCTCAGCCTTTAAGCTCATACACCTCTCCCTCTGCATTATCTCCCATCACTGACAGTCACCAATTAGCGCTATGTTTGAGGTCCCCTGAGTATGAACGGAAATAGCTCTGGTGATCCTCTGATGTTTCATCTAGCACAATTATCTGGCCCAAATTCTTATTACTCGGTCCTTTAGTTTATGACCAGATACCTGCTAAATGAATGACATTCCCATAAGTTCCAGCCGTACTTTATGCCAATAAGTAAATGTTAGCATGCTAACACTACTTGCTAAACATCAGCATGCTGATATTGTCACTGTTAGCATATTAGCATTCCCAGACTGTCAGAGGGTGATGACAGGAGGAGCCCTGTGTTTAAAGAGGATGAAGCTATTGAATGTGATTGTCCATGACCGTCACTACCTGTAAGAAACCAATCTAGTGTATGATAATGAATTCTTTCCCATCTGTTTCTGTGTGCGCTACAGGTGTGCCAGATAAGCCTGGCCACAAAAATATTAAAAGTGTGCTTGGCACACACTCAGAGCCTGACCCTCTCTCCTGTCTCAATCTCTCCCAATGTTTTATTTCCTCTCGTTTCTCCTCTTTTCCTCCCTGTTTAACCCATTGTTTCCTTTTCTCTCCCTCTGAATTATCTTTTTTAAACCCTTTTCCCACTGTAGAAACAGTCAGTCCTCTCTGGCTTTAGTCCCAGTCAAACTGTCATCGACACACAGGGGCACAAAACCCACGTTAATTTAACTTGATAAATGAAAAGACCTCATATAGGGGCGTGGCTCTCTCATAGGGGCTTGACATTGCACAATATTGTTGTTATTGATTGATCCACTTCACAGCACACACTAAAAGTGTGTGTAAAGATTTACAGCAAGTGGTTTGAATTGATTCCATTAAGGGTAGCATCCAGCTGGTTCATTATTTTGTGATCTTATGGTACAAATAGAGAAGAGTTGAAATAAAAAAAAATCTGTATATTTCACCTTTACATTTATCACAACTCAGATTTTTTAGTTTTCCCTTCAGCATCACATATAAAACATGTGTCTTCTACCTCAACAGGAGTCAGATAAGTGTTTCACGTGTAACTCCCAGCATCGCTATGACCCTGACCACCACAGAAACAGTCACCGCATCGAAAATGTGATCTACCCCACAGACAACAGGGGAGACAACACCTGGTGGCAGTCTGTCAATGGTGTGTGTGCATGTGTTTACCTAATAACAGTACAGCAGAACACTGTCAGTGTGTTCACTGTCCTGGATGCCTCTGTCTTCTTTCATGTATGGGAGTATATGTGTGTGGGGAATATGTTTGTTGTTCTTGTTGTGTTTTTGAGAGATAAATCCTGATGGTCCAGGAGCTTTATACTGTAGCTAAATCCAGGACCTCAATGGGTTAATAATGGAGGGCTTATATTTATTGTGGGGGAGGGGGACAAAAATCTAAAAAAGGTGGAAAAGGTCTCTTACAGTCACTCAGTCAAGTATCTTCAGGGAACATCAGGAAAGAAGACTGGAATTGTGCTGTTATCTCCCACAGGAAAAGAGACTGTCAGCATCAGACTGAACCTGGAGGCTGAATTCCACTTCACACATCTCATTATGAGGTTCAAGGTATGCATAGTTTTTTCTCTGTGTGGTTGCCAGTATGTATGTGTCTTTGCAGAGCTCTGTTTGAAATGTTGTATGCGCTGAAGCATGTCAGGCTGCGTACTTGTCCAGGTACGTGATTGACAGCTGCATTCCACCAGGCACGAAGCCGCCATCCTACTGTTACTAAAGAAAACAGATAAATCAGTCATTGTATCACTTCATCTCAGGTGTGACTGCATTTTTCTCATTTAGTCCATAACTTAATGACTGATGTGACCTGAATTTTATGTTCGTATCGATTGTTTTTTATTTTTTTACATCCTCAGACGTTCCGACCTGCAGCTATGATCATCGAACGCTCAGCTGATTTTGGACGCACATGGCGCCCCTACCGCTACTTTGCCTCAAACTGTACCAAAACCTTCCCTGGCATCCCCGCCAGTGGTCTGCACCACATCAGCGACATCATCTGCGAGGAACGTTACTCTGACATCGAACCCTCGACTAATGGAGAGGTAAAAGCTTGAAATAATACTGGTAGAAGTGTTTGTTGAAAGATAAATCTCTCAGCATCCCATCAGTTTCTCATATATTTCTCCCCTTTTCCTCCCTGTTTAACCCATTGTTTCCTTTTCTCTCCCTCTGAATGTTCCTCTTTTTTAAAACTGTTCCCTAGTGTAGAAACTATCAATCTCCTCTGGCTTTGGTCCCAGTCACATTGACATTGACACAAAGGGGACACAAAACCCATGTTGACTGATGAAAAGACCTAATCTAAGAAAACAGCCCTATCATAGGGGCTTGACTGACACTGTACAATATGAAAAAGACACACCCTGTGCAGATATAATGAAAGACATTACAGCAAGTGGTTTTAGTTGATTCCATTCAGGGCGACATACAGCTGGTTCATAAGTGTTGAAATAAAAAATCAACTCTATATTTCACCTTTACTTTTAGAATCAGAAGGCTTTATTGTCATTGCACCAGGAGAAAGTATGACAAGATGTGCTGTGCAGACCTGAAACACCGTTAACGTAGACACACACACATATACACAAGCACTCCGTACACATGCACACAGTCCCCGTACAATATACACTCCACCGCACTTCATGTCAGGCCCTGTATAGATACAGTATTGGCCTTTATGACCCAAGGTAAATGCACATGGTGTAAAATATAAAATATGAACATTTGAACAACTGAATATATAATTTGCACAACTGAAATGTAAAATTGCCAGCTATTCAGGGTCCTCACGCATGATGGCCACATGACTGTTGTGATGTGTAGATGAGTAGCTAATAGTTCAGTCCTGAGACTATACTGATGCAAGTGGTGGCAATAGAAAGGGGGGAGTATTTATTAGAATTCAGTTCTATGACTGCTCTGGGGAAAAAGCAGTTTTTCAGCCTAGAGGTGCAGGCTCAAAAGGCCTTGTAACACCTACCACATGGTAACAGCGAAAAGAGCTGATGAGTGGGGTGAGTTGCCTCTCTCAGAATACTGCTAGCTTTCCGGAGGCAGCGTGTTCTGAAGATGTCATCCGGTGCGGGCAGGGGCAGTCCAGTGATATCCTGGGATGTACTTCTGACTCTCTGGAGGCTTTTCTTATTGGCTTTTCTTTTCAGCTTCTGTGCAGTTTGCATACCATGCTATGATGCCGTATGTTAAAACGCTCTCAATAGAGCAGGGATAAAAGGCCTTAAACAGCTCTGCATACATTTTGACTTTCTCGAGCCTTCTTAGGAAGTCGCACCTCTATAGGGCCTTTTTGTTTATCAGAGCAGTGGAGTTGGCTGACCATGTGAGGTTTTATCACAGCTTTTCAGGTATTTCTTCAGCATTACAGCTGAACTGTTTTAATGCTGCTACTGAAGACACACATCTTATACATGTACATGAAGAGGACTTGATCTCACCATGAAACAAAAAGAAATGTAAATATCTAAGTAAGCTTCTAACATAACTGATTTGAAGTCAAATGTGACTTTGATTCATTGACTTTTTTAACTCTAATATTGTTTTCCCAGGTGAGATCAGATTTTCACATAATATGCCTGTTGTTGCTCAGCATCTCTTGTTTTATCTGGATTTAACATCTTTTAATCTCAGAATGTAACGGCACTTGTCTCTGAATTTCTTCAGCTGAAAAATTCTCTTCTCTATTCAAGGTTATTTTTAAAGTTTTGGATCCTGCCATTCATGTGAAAGACCCCTACAGCTTGGACATTCAAGGTCAGTCAAGACTTGGATATAGGGCGCACTAACACTGTACAGTAAATATTAAACCTCTAGACACTGATATTCATTTTGGATGAGTACCTTCTCTCTGCCATCTGAATCCCAAATACTGAACAGTTTTTTCATTCTTCACAATTTTTCATTAACCATTTTGTTTACATTGTAGTCAGTATTCAGGAGTAACTAATTACTCTAACTAAATTACAAAATATATGTAATTAGTTACAGTTACTGATATGAAATATGTCAATAAATTGTAGTTGCTAATCAAGATGTTGTGATTACAATGGGGCTTTACCGGAATATTCTCTTCAGTAAAGATATTAGAAATGCTAAGTTTAGACATTTGGTTAATATAATGCAGTAAGCTGAAATAACAAACAAAAAACTGTTTCACACAAGTATTAACTACAGTACTTGTTTTTGTGTAAAATAGGCTGTATTACTTTTTTTGCCTTTTTACAATAAGTTCACCGCCTAGTCTGTGACATTTTAGCTTTGTCAGAAGGTGAGTTAATACACGGCTCAAACCAGTCCGAGTTTCTCCTTTACAGAACTTCTGCGCATCACGAACTTGCGTATCAACTTAACCAAGCTTAATACTCTGGGAGACGACCTGCTGGACCGACGCTCTGACGTCCTACAGAAATATTACTATGCCCTCTACGAGCTGGTCGTCAGAGGGAGCTGCTTCTGTTATGGACATGCTTCAGAATGCGCCCCAGTGCCAGGAGTCGATACCCGGGAAAATGGCATGGTGAGTTAATGGACTATATAATCTGCAGTCATCTCCATACTATGTACTGTGGGACTAAACAGAAAACGATCTTGTTGCATAAAAGACAAAAAGAGCTTTAACAAATATTAGAAATTTGAGCTTGTCTGATTTGTTCAGTACACTGTTTCATGTGCCCTCTCTGACTGGCCAGATCCACGGTCGTTGTGTATGCAAACATAACACCGAGGGCCTGAACTGCGAACGCTGCCGGGATTTCCACAGCGACCTGCCCTGGAGACCAGCGGAGCTGGAGAACCCACACACCTGCAGAGGTGAAACACACACATCTTAAACACACCAACAGCTGCTGAAGTCTCTCCTGAAATGTAAATTCAACTTCAACTGCCTTGGAAATCTCAATTAAGACAGCATAAATATTTCTCTGAGGTGATATTTATTACGATTTGAAGTTCAGTATAGTATTGTGTAAAATGTTGCCTGCTGTAGAAGAGCAGTGTCCTCCTGACAAGCTGTAGTAAACTCCTGGGCTCATTCAAGTGTCTCATCATTTTAAAATGTTAAATGAGAGGCACTGATGTGATTATTGGAGGTCACCCCGACTCTTATGTGTGAGCAAATTTTGGTGACCTCTTAGCGTCAAAGTAATGTTTATGTGCATCTAATTAGTCTGTATTTGTTTTTTCCCTTTTTCTCCAGAGTGTAACTGTAACGGCCACTCGAACCAGTGTCACTTTGACATGGCGGTATATTTGGCCACGGGCAACATCAGCGGGGGAGTGTGTGACGACTGTGTGCACAATACCATGGGACGTAACTGTGAGATGTGTAAACCCTTCTACTATCAAGACCCTAATAGAGGTATTAGGGACCCACGGGTTTGTGTTGGTGAGTCATTTGTTTGTTGAACAAAATGTTTCTAGCTACGGTATTGTTCACTTTGGCACTGCAGGAAATGGCATCTTTAGATCCAGTAATGAGTGTAGAACATATATTTTCACTAAAACAGTGGGTTGGGAAGTTCTTTTGTTTCCTGTGTCAGTGCACTTGTCTCAGAAATTGTTCCTATGTTGTGACATTGCCCTCCTGCAGTGATCTGCCTTGTTTCGTTCATTTTTGTCAGGAAAGTGAGAAAATTCTGGAAATCCTTGAAACTGTCAAACAAATTATCTAACTGATTCTTGAGATTCAGTCCACTGGATGATTTATTCAGTTTTAAGGTCACAAGAGCTTAATATACAGTACGACTCTTATAAAGTAAACACCTCAACCAGTAACACGGACTGTAATGATAAACTGAGTGCACCTGAAAATGTCCTTGATAAATTGTTATTTATCAAGTGGAGTTTTTAAACATACTGTACAAACCTTCAGTTTCATTGTGGCCATTTCTAAGTTCTGCCTCCTTACTCACATTCTCCGTCGGACCTCTGATGTCCAGCCTGTGACTGTGACCCGGTGGGATCTTTGGAGGGAGGAGTGTGTGACAGTCACACCGACCCGGCCATGGGAATGATTACAGGACAGTGTCGCTGCAAAGCCAATGTCAAAGGGATGCGCTGTGACACCTGCAAGGAGAGTTACTACGGACTTAGCCAGAACGACCCACTGGGTTGTCAGCGTACGTATGTGTGTGTTTGTCTGCCACTGAAATGATTTGTGTTTGAACTGGGATAAAAATTGATTTCTAGTTTTTTGGTGCATAAAACCACATAATCTGCATGAAGGACCGGTAAACACTGCAGTATGTCAGCCATTATCTTACCATGTGTGTTTCTCCATCAGCTTGCAACTGTGACCCACGTGGCATCATTATGACGGACACTCCTTGTGATCAGATTAGTGGGGACTGCTCCTGCAAAAGATACGTCACTGGTCGATACTGCAACCAGTGTCTGGTTAGTAACAGCTGTTCTCCTTTTAAAATGCGTTGATAGTGAAGTTAATTGTGGAATTTAATCAAAAGAACAAAATCTGGTTGCAAAATGCTAAGATGGCAGCCGCCATATTCACGATATTCTGACTTACACAGTAGAGGGAAGAGGTGACATGTTGTCCATCTTTTATATACAAAAACTGAATGGACAAAATTAGGTTATTTACTGTAGGTGCATTTTAATACCATGTAATGTGTTTAATTATTTTATTACTTGTTGCACACCTTGTCACACTGGCAAAGTATTTTCATCAGCCAGTGGTAGCAAATATTTTGGCACTGACAAGGGGACATCCAGAACTGTGCAAAAGTTTTAGACACTAAAATTAAAGTCAGGAAGAGTCACCATTCAAAAGTGATCATTCAAGAATGATTCCTTTAACAGTCAAGAGAAAAATAAAATAAATCAAATCAATATTGGTGTGAGCATCCTTAAAACAGTACCAGGTCTCTTTGGTACACTTGTGCATATTTTTAAGGTACTTGCCACAGTTCATCTGTGGATTTAGGCTGTCTCAGTGTCTCCTGTATCTTCCTGTAGTCCCAGACTGACTTTATGATGTTGAGATCAGGGCTCTGTGGGGGCCAGACCATCTGTTACAGGCCACCTTGCTCTTTATGGCTGTGGCTGTATGTTTGGGCTTGCTGTCATGCTGCTGAAAGACCCTGCAGAAAAGAATCTAAACATCTAAAGTGCCTAAACATTTGCACAGCATTGTATTATATAGAAGGTCAACAGAGCTTGAGGCATGGTGTAGAAACTACACACTATACATGTTACTGTAAATCACAGATTTCAGGTTTATTTCCATTTCTATAGCCTGAGTACTGGGGGCTCAGCAACGACCTGGCCGGCTGCAGACCGTGTGACTGTGACTTTGGTGGAGCCCTCAACAACAGGTACAGATTTTATTCTTGAGAAAGAGGTGTTTTATACTTTGCAAGTCTTTCCACAGACTTTCACTTAAGTCCAAATTGTCCAACCTTTAAGTGAGGTTGTGAGTACATTAGTCTGTTCCTGAGTGGAAACCACAAAGAAGGGAAATGATGAAGAGGAGTTAGAAGTGACATTTAAAGTCTATCATTCCCTCTTACTTTAGGTGCATGATGCAGAATGGCCAGTGTGATTGCAGGATGCATCTGATTGGTCGACAGTGTTCAGAGGTGCAGCCTGGGTATTTCTGTGCGCCGCTGGACTACTACAAATACGAAGCTGAAGATGCCACTGGACACTCCCCCACTGATCCTGCCCTGCCGGTGAGCTCATGCTTCAGGTCATAACTTAGGCTGATAACAGACTTGCAGTGGAAGTAGCTGTGTTGATGTGGATTCTGTTGAGACAGTGAACAGCGTGTACTGTCCACTGTCTGTGTCAGTTTATGGACTGTATCCAAAACCTCAACTCCCTGTAAAGCCACAGTTTGTTTTACCGTTTTTTGCTGATTAACAGATGGCAGAAACAAACAAATAATAATTTGTTACTAGTGAACTTTAGAAGTTGCTTTTTTAGCTTTGGATTGAGCCAGGTTTTCTCATTTCTATAATCTTTATACTCGTATTTTGATTATCTCATCTAATGCCTGGCATTAAAATGAACAAGCATATTCCCCAAAATGTCAAGCTAGTTTTTTTCACCTAGTATCACCTAGTTGATTTTTACATTCAATCTTTTTTTGCTATGTCAATGTACTGTATACACTATACTGTCACTCTGGTGTCCAGGGAAAATGTTCCTAGACCATATCTTTGGGAAATGACCTGTATGACCCAAATGTTTTCCTCAGGAAGTACAGTAAACAGAAAGGTCACAGACACACATCTCAACACCACTGTCTATATCTTGTATCTTATGCAGACTATACAGTTCCAGGCCAAACATCCAAACTTGGATAATGTTATGATTGTAAAGGAGCTTTCATGTTGTTCTGATTCCAACAAGGTTGTTTTTGAAAGGGTGCGCTTGGTTTTGGCTGCTGACTTTAGATGCAGAGGTGTTTCACCTTGGAGAAGCTTCATTATCATCCCTGTACTGAAGCTGCGACTACTGTCTCAGTTTTCCTGAACAATAATTCAAAATACCAGCACAGTGTCACAAACCACAGTTGGATGAGATTATACCTGCATAAAGTTTGACACCGATACTAATGATACTATCCAACACATATTAATTAAAATAAATGGGCTCCCTTCAGATGCCACATACTGTAGATATATTTGTTTATACTTCTCATTTTTCTTTTCTTTTTAAAATAAATTTACCTCATATAATTAATAAATCTAACCAGTTTTTTAATCATGGCATTTTTGGACTCTCCCGTTCATTACCACAAGACCCACACACTTTATATATGCCTGCTTTTGATTCAGTCTAGGTACATTAGAGAAAACATGTTCACATACTTATTCTGAATCATTTCACACCACATTTTATAACATTTTGATGCAGTTTGCATGGAGTCAGGTAGTGCAAAATCCTCTTCTTCTGTGCCCCATAAACCAGTAAAGGGACATTTACTGTAAAAACAGCTTTGATTTATATTGATATCCTATTTAATTTTCATTTATCCAACCTGCTACAGTGAGGGGTGAGGAGCTGTGACAGGCCTGTTCCTGCTATCAGTCACTAATCTTTCCTACCTATCAGTGTCCGCTCTACCATGCCTCGCCATCTCTGTCCTCTGCATCTCTATGCCCGCTTTCTCACACTCTTTTTTTTTTTTTCACCGCCCTCCGCCCACTTCTGTTTTCTTCACTCTTAAGAGCGCCCCTGCCCCCTCCACCTCCCTCATTCAGCCCCACGGGCAAGCTCAGACAGTTCACGCTTACAACATCAGCACCATCAGGTATGTGGGAAAATGGCAAATATTAACTTAAGAATGCTGACAGAGAAAAGGCAACAGTGCAAGACACCAAGCAAGAGGAGATGTGTCTGTGATGTGTGTGGCTCTTGTCTTTGTCCTGTGAGTGAACACGGTTTGTTTAACTGCCGTTGGATGGAAAATGAGCGTATGTGCTGAAAAGAGCAAAATATCAGGATACAGTCAAGGCTGTGTGTTTCTGTGCAAAGCCCACAACTGAAGAGACCCACAGAACCAGACACAGATACACAACTAATTATCGCTGTGTGGCACACACGTACGTGCCACTAATATAGTGCACAGAGAAGAGCATATTCTTTGTGTCTCTTTGTCACGCTCCGGCCAGTTCAGCACAGCATGGCTCTCTGTGCTCTGTATTGTCTTTTTCACTTCTTGAGCAAGAAAGGTGTCCAGGATGAACCTAGTTTTAAGCACGATCTCCAATCCACTGCTGTCTCAATCTGTTTGCTTAATTTTTTTATGGGACAGGCAAAAATAAGCATTTGGCTCACTGGAAGGAACAAAATGAAGGGGACAGGATTTTCAGATGCCGAGCTGTTGTTCAGGGCTCTGGTGTCCCCACGTCTCCAAGTGAACTTTACACGTTATGAAATAGTGTCAAAGTTAGAGGGCCATTGTTTCTCTCTGGGGATTTGGAAATGTTTTATGTCATGTCTTGCAAGATTCACTTGAGTTGAAATTCTGATTGAAGCTAGTCATTCACCTTATTTTTTGGTCAGGATGTCAATTAAAAGGGTTGGGGATGTGTAGATGTGGTGTTATTTATGTGGTTATTTTCCTCTGTGGTTTTAGGAGTAGTGTAAGGTGTAGTTAAAGGTCTCCTCTTGTCTCCTCTCAGGGCAAAGTTCGTCCTAAGGCAGACACTGACTGTGTTGAGCACCTCAACAACCAGCTAAGGAGGCACCGGCGTCACCGTCGCGTTACCAGCCCACAGCAGCATCATGCAGCGCTGACACGTATCCACGAGCTTCGACAGACGGTATGATAGTTACTAGACACACTAGCATGTTTCCAAAAACAGTTTGAGAGGTTGCAGGTAACAGCTGGATGAAGCTTGTGACCCCTAAAATAAAGCAATATCTGCTTTTGACCTCTTGTCACAGATAAATTAGTGGGGTTACAGTGACAAATCCCTCTTGGATTTGTCTCATTGTAAGGACATTTAGAGGCCTGAAAAGGTCAAAGGATTCAGCATTGTATGTCATTTTTAGGGACCTTAAGCTGTGAATCTGATATTTTATGTCTTTTTAGAAGGTTTTAGAACCCTTTAGAGGTGAAAGAATCCAGTACTTTACTTATTTTAATGATTCGTAGAGGCTTTACAGTAAGAGGTAAAACAATCTATTGCAAGGAATTAAGCAAAAATTAGAAAAAATACAAGCAATTTTCTGGAAAAGATTTTTTCTTTCTCCCTTTATTCGCCTGGTGATTCCTCATTTAATTTATCTTTGCACCCCTTGAGTGCCCCCAGTGCCCAGGCTGGGGATCACAGCTCATTACAGATGAACAGAACTGTACAGCACTTTACCAAGGATAAACGGACTGTCCACCGTGTTTACTGTTTATAGTTATAATAGGCTATGTATTTACATGTAAGTTGCAAAATGTCTAAAGCTTTAAGGTTTGTGGTCATGTGCTTTGGTCATTTGGCACAGTCAGCACTAAACACTTGCCTGTCACATTAAGTATATCAGTTCGAACTAGTCGAGCAGTGGAAATGTAGGGCTGTCAGAATATTTGGAGTCCAAATGACTGATGCTGTAGCCAGAGCACTGTAATATGAGAAACAAAAGTAAAAATGGAGATCCAAAGCTTTTGAATATTGGCGTGACATCATAACAAAGAATCAAAATTTAAAACCATTTTTCTGTCACATTTTGTAAAGGACGTATTTGTAGATGTAATTAACTTTGATAACTGCCATTGATGAGAGGACGTTACGTGACACCCTGACAAAAAGCAGAGAGGTCCATTCCTCGGGTTAAGCAGAGTCATTTTCTTTCTCTTTAATAAAAATGCTAATATAATGAATGTGAAAGCTACCTATTACAGTAAGTAAAAGTTCTGCATTCTAAATAAACAAAAATCCTTAAGTCATAAACCAAAAGTAGCTGTTTTCCAGGTAATGGTCCCTGTGGCTGTTGTATTATCATGACATATTATTATACTTCCATTTTACTGGACGTGAGGCTACAGCAAACATAATTAATTGACATCAACCTAGAGACTCGCCGCCCCAAATGGTCACAAACTGAATCTGATAGGACGTAAGATGTCAAAGTAGGTGTGAAAGAGATAAAGACAGGTTTTGTTACACAAAATTGTATCCGCAGTTTGTGTTGTTTCTGTAATCTTTTCATTTTGGTGGAACTACCACTCATTAACATCTGAAACATGATGAGAGACTCCAAAAGTCATGTGTAAATGTAGGTGTGTTAAAAGTACAGCCTTTAAAATGTACTCAACTATAGTACACATACTTCAAAGTTATATAATACTTTAGTGCTATGAGCAATTGTACTTACAAACAAGATGGAGAAAGAAAAGAGAGGAGAAAAAAGTCTTTGTGTGGGACTCAAACCAAAAGCACTGTTAATCATTGCTAACTTGAGAACCGCAGGGAGCTACTGTGCAGGTGGCTGCGAGGTATGTGCTGTAAACTGTGTCTGTTACTGGTACAGTGAAGTTTCATAACTTGTTAAGAGCACCAGATGTGTTGGCAGTGCATTTAATGTATTGCCATCGGGATGAGAGAAATTCAAGAAATGTAACAAAAAATGCTTCTGGAAGGACAAACATGCCTTCAATTTCACATTGGTCTTTGTACTCTTAAATTGCAAGTTAATCATCTGTTTGATGCTTTAAACTAAAATAGCCACTGAACGAGACAGTGACACTCAACATCAAATCTAATTGCTGTTAGTGAGGGGAAACAGAAAGTGTATGAGTAAAAAGTAGAGATGATAATGGTTCCAAAAGAAAATGACACTTAGCTAATCTGTCTGTCTCTCTCAGCCGGATGTGACGGTTGTTCACAGGGATCACACTGACAGCCACATGGTGACATGGACAGGATCAGGTTTTTCCCGCGTCAAAGATGGTGCCGGCCTGGTGTTCACAATCGACAACATCCCCTACGCCATGGAGTATGACATCATGATCCGCTATGAGCCAGAGGTGTGTGTGTTTACGGATCCTTGCCTATAAGACTGATGTAAAACTCTTTATTCTTATAAATGATCTGTTTATATTTTGTGTGTGTGTGTGTACAGTCCACAGAGGACTGGGAGGCCATAGTTAGCATTACCTCTGTGCTGCTGCCCTCCAGTCTGCGGTGTGGAAACCTCTTGCCTACTGAACAGCTATACACAGTGACCATGCTGCACCACAACAGGTACCACAATTTGTGTGCAAATTTGAGTTTGTGTGTACTGTATGTGTGTATATGAGAGAAGAGCCACTGCAGCCAGTCTGCTTGTTCAAACCACTAAAGGATTTGTTCAAGTATCCCAGGTCTCGATCTGGTGGGTGTTGTTTTATAGCTCAGTTTCCACTTAAACCTGCCCTGGGTTGTATGCACAGTGTGAGTCTTATTCCACTGTAACCTGTGGAATATTTTACCACTGATTCACTGACAGGATGGCAAACAGACCAGGAAGCCTGTGTAAGACTCAGCTAGAGTTATATGCAGGAAGGCTGCAGCTTTGTTTGCTGAAGTTTAGAGTGCGAAACATAAGAGCAGCTGTTGGAGACAAGCAGAGAACAGTCCGAGCTGGCGAGAGGGACAACTGAATATCCAAGCCTAGAGTAGATGACTGGTCCAGGTCCACTGAGTTTGTCCTGCCTAAGTACTGCATGGCTGGAGACTGATTTTACACAGGACCCACACTAGCTCTGTGTTCAGAAGCTTACTGTGTCAAATTGACCTGCCTTGGTTTTGCTTTACTCCATTATCAACTATCATGACAGTTAAAGAAGCTGAGTGGTTTTTCCAGTGGGATATTTTAGAGGCTTTTGTGTGTTTTTAATAGCTAAATGTCATCTGTTGAACAAGAAGTCATTAAAAGGGTCAGATTAATAAGATTACAGCATGTACACATGTACATGTGCTGTTTTTGCTGAGTAGAAAATCAGTGTTTGATTTTGAGAAATTTATAAGCCATAATATTAATGTTATTAGTAATATTGTAGTGAAGCAAAAGACTAAAGCAGAAAATCAATCAGTCACTTATGCCATATTTAACTAAAATAACTAAAACTAAAATACATCAGATTTTCTTACATTAGTTTTCCTTAAAATTTGTTACTGTTGTAATAAGTTCTCACCAAAAATGTATGAGGTTAGTTTTGCACTTTCTTCTGTTTGTGTAAGTTTTTCAGTTTTTCTTGTGTTTGTTTTTATTTTTACTTTTCCCATTTATTCCTGTGTGTGTGTGTGTGTGTGTGTGTGTGTGTGTGTGTGTGTGTGTGTGTGTGTGTGTTTGTGTGGACCTTGATACTGCCTCATAGCTGTATTGTTCATTCCTTCTTCCTTCAAAACAGTGTTCACCAACTGGTGGACTCTGTTCTGGATCTGGACCCAAAGAGGTTTCTGTGTGTTTCATATTAAAATAATAAAGCTGTGGCCAGATCGATCAGAGCAGTATGGTAACATTAGGGACATTAAGTGAGGACACTTGACAGTGTAACCCACACTCATTAAAAGGTTAAAGACCATATAAAAGTTGGCAATACATTTACTATTCACTACAGTAGATAAGCCGTGGCTAAAAGTTCAACAGTAATGCAAAGTTAAATATAATAGTATCATATTATAATAGTGTAATATCAAAATCAGAAGATAAACACACACACTCACAAAGCAAAACAAAGTGCTCCCACTAGGCAGTATACCACCAGTAATCTAACGTCATTAAAAAGTTTCCATACCAGATCTCATACAACAAATCAGTGTTATTAAAAAACAAACAAAATGTCATAAGATTATGTTTTTATCTGTATTGCAACAGTGATGATAGGCTTTTCATCCTTTACTCTCAGTGCTTGCTAATAAGATTGTGAAGTGGTTGCATTGATGTACTGTTTATCTGAGACCAAGTTGTAACACAATATGAAAAGTGTGACAGTACCACTGAGTGGATGTACAGTTTTGCTGCATCTGTACAAACTTGATTCCTTCTGAATCTAAAATGAGCATCGTTTTGGAGATTTTTATATTGTGTTTTTTGAAGGTTAGATTGCTTTCATCAGTCACATCTACACTAAGTATTTACAATGTTGACATCCTGCAGCCTCTATCACTATAATTTCAGAAGGAGGGCTGTCTCTTTTTCTTTAGTTCCTTTTTGTATTCTTCTGTATTTGAGGAGCTCAGTTTCTCAGTGTCCTCTGATTGGCTGTATTCCAACTTCGCTTCGGTGTGGTCCAGTGAGAGAGGGGAGAGAAAGAGGGGAAGGAGAGAGAGACAGAATTGAGAGGATTTATCTGTTTATGTGTCATTGTATGTATTATGCTTTTCCAGATACATCCAGATGCCCAGGCCGTTCTGTTTCGAGCCCAGTAATCGTTATGTGGTTGCTATTAGGTTCCAGCGTCATGGGGTCTCACACCGACATCTCACTGCCTACATTCTAATTGACTCGGTGAGCTCATTATTGTCCATTTGAATGGTAGCAGTAATTATACCAACATCTCAGTGGCTTCAACAAGTGCACTCTTTGGCTGTGACACAGAAAACATGACCACATCTTTGTGTTGCTTGGGGCTTTCCGTCACCAGGGTGCCCCCTAGTGATGGAAAAAGCCAAATGCGAGTGTTTACCTAGGCTCAAGAATAATCTTTAAATATTGTAAGTGAAATACACTTTAACACATTGACTTAATTTGGTTTAGCATTAAACTGGTTGTAGTAGTGGTGCATGCCTCTTGTTGGTATAAAGTGCACTTCAGTTAGGTTTCTGTGAAACCTGTTTTCAAAAGCATTGTTATATTTTAATGCTTTAATGTATAAGGAAAGTTGACTTTGCTATGACTTATCAACCTTCTTTGCTCATAGCCCCAGCCCACAAGATTAACATGCATAGTTATTACTATAATTCCCTCCTATGTTTAACCTTTTGTTACCCCAATAGCTGGTTCTGATCCCCAAATACATTGAACTTCCCGGTTTCCGAGGTAACGAGCCGGAGGCAGAGCAGCGGCGTGATGAGATGATTCGCTACTCATGTCTGGATTCTTTCATGATCACGCTGACGCCCACCCTGGCTGAGATATGTTCCAAACTCATCTGCAGTATTTCATCCATCATTCATGATGGTGCTCTGCGTAAGTAGAAACACAAAACAGGCAGATTTGGAGGACATCTGTTCAAACCCACTGACCATTTCAAATCCTTTGTTGCTTTTTAAATCATAATAATTTACTGCTATTATTATTATTTTTATTATTATCATGTATTTATTTTTTGGCAAATTTGTTGTGCCCAGCTTGTCAGTGCGATCCTCAAGGTTCCCTCAGTGGTGACTGTGAAAAGGTTGGAGGCCAGTGTCGATGTAAACCCAATGTCATTGGTCAACACTGTGACCAGTGTGCCCCAGGAACCTACGGCTTTGGAGTGAATGGTTGTGCTGGTGAGTCTGTTCAAGTGACAAGAGGCACCTGCTATTTTTCCACAGTCTCCCCAGCATGTATTTAAATTCACGCTGTGATGTCCAAATCACATAAATGAAAGGATTAATTTTCTAGAGGTCAATCACATTTCTATGAACTCAGATGGAACTTAGAAATTGTTGAATTGGAAGAGACAGTGTCTACTTCTAATAAAATAAATGCACTACTGTAATGTGTGCTAATGTGCTGTTTATGTTGAAAGAAAAACCGTGCCCTTTTCCAAAAAGAAAAGGATCACTTAAATAATTGAGCATAATTTTGCTACTGGCTCCAGAAAAGGCACAAATGCTAATAATCAATACAAAACCAGTCACTGAACCTTTAAATGCCTCCTCCCTTTCAGCCTGTGACTGCCACTCCGAGGGTTCGCTGAGCCACCAGTGTGACCCAGTGACAGGCCGGTGCCAGTGCAGGCAGGGAGCCACTGGGCGTAGGTGCTCGGACTGCCAGCCGGGCCAATGGGGCTTCCCCAGCTGTAGCCCCTGTCAGTGTAACGGCCACACAGACATCTGTGACCCCCGCACTGGGGAATGTAGAGACTGCAGGGACTACACCACAGGACACAATTGTGAAATGTAAGGACCACTCATTGTCAGACTCTATTTAACTTTATCTCTGGTCGTCAGGCTGATGGTAACCGTCTCCCTCACTTGTCTCAGCTGTGTAAATGGGTTCTTTGGAAACCCGGTGCTTGGCTCAGGGGAACACTGTCGTCCTTGCCCCTGCCCTGGAAACCCCGGCTCAGATCACTTTAACGGGCACTCATGCTACGCTGACCACACCTCTAACCAGATCATCTGTAACTGCAGACAAGGCTTCACTGGTGAGCTGTTGCACTACAGCGATAGACAGTTCATTTTTTTGTATTTATCTTTGCCAATAATAATGGGTAGTGTACGAAGTCATGTGTGGCTGAGTCTATTCAACATTAGTGAAAATGAAAATGGTTTCCAAACTGATTTTCATGCCATATTGTCCCTTAGGGCCCCGCTGTGACCTTTGTGCCCCTGGTTACTATGGCAACCCAGCGCAACCCGGTGGGCAGTGTTTGCCGTGTGAGTGCAACGGCAACATTGACACCCAGGACCCTGAGTCGTGTGATCCCAGGATTGGCCGATGCCTCAAGTGCCTGTACCACACTGATGGCCCGTCATGTGCCCACTGTCAACATGGTTACTATGGCAATGCTCTGGCTCACAACTGCAGACGTGAGTGATAATGGCAGATTTTAGAGAACTTCTAAACATAATTGCTCAGATTCTTGCTCCAGGTTTTGTATTTGTCTAATTCTCTGTGTGTAGGAGCTAAAACTGCTTCTATTGGTAAATTTCTTACATTGATATGAGCATAACTGTATACAGTATGTAAAATATAAGTGGGTCATGTATCACCGGCTTTATTTTTCCAATCATTTTATTCTGATGGCACATTTTTGTAGTAAAAATAGATTTGGTCCTGTTAGAGTCTGGGTTCCAGCAAAGAGACGCGTGTTCCTTTTGGAAGAAACAGGTGATTCAGAGGACAAAAGGGATCATCAGCCTGTCTGGCCATGTTTTGTTCACTGAATTCACTGTGATGCCCTCAGGCTGCTGTTATAATGCACCTCTCAGTGGAACTAACTACTTTTCAAAGTCTTTTATTCCTTCTGCTGTATGGCTGTTAAACGCAGGTAGTGCTCTTTTTAAATTTCATTTCTAGAATACAGGTCACCCATTAAAGTTCCAGGAGGTCCAGTCACTCAACGTCATCCTGGGCCAAAGTCCAGACAATTAAACACCATTTATTCCCCTCATTTGACCCAAAATAATTAGCCAAAATCCCTTGTTCACAAGTTGTTGCGCTGGAATGGTTGAGGACAGTTGCAGGTAGTTTGTTTTTCAAAGTTTTATGAAAGTCTCTGTGTTATTTTCATTTACCTTTTGACAGTGGCCAGACTCGTAGCAGAGCAGGATGCTAACCCCACTATGTTTGTAGAAAGGAAGTATATATTTTAGTGTTCTGGCAATGTGGAACACGGTGAGGTCTTTTTGTAGTTAACTTGTAGTTAATAATTTATATTAGGATTTATCTGTTTTATTTATGATTGATCATTGTTTCTCCTACTGACCTTACTGTATGTATTTTGACCTGTGGCTTGACATATAATGATTTTGTTTATGTGTTTGTAATTGTGTGTATGGGTTGAGTAAGCTGCAAATGAACTGCTGCTGTGTGAATCTTGAAGATGGAGTAGAACCTTACAGTCTTCTGTCTCACCGTACTATGATTATATGTTTCTGTTGTCAGGCTGTACCTGTGTGACTGCTGGCACCATCCAGTCCGCTTGCAGTGATGGACTGTGTCACTGTGACCGGCAGCCAGGTGTGTGATGAGTGTGCTGCAAACCACTGGAACTACGGTCAGGACCAAGGCTGTGAGCCCTGTAACTGCAACCCACAATATGCCCTGGGAAATCACTGCAACATGGTGAGGGGGTGTGAAGGCCTTCCAAAGCCTGAGAATACTTAGGGCATAAGTGAATGGTCGAAATGTTTAAGTGTCGTTGAATTATATCCTTACCTGTTTGTTTTTCAGTCTTTGTAAGTCTGTCTCTCTTTGCCTTTCGCAGTTCACAGGCCAGTGCCACTGTCGTCCAGGCTTTGGAGGCAAACAGTGCACAGAGTGTCAGCAGTTCTACTGGGGAGACCCTCAGGTGCAGTGTCAAGGTAACTCACCACAGAACAGATTTGCAAACATAACATTTCACGTCAAGCTCACATCTTTAAGGCAGTCAGGAAGTAGTTCTCGATCGGAAGCTGTATTAACACATTCTATCCCCAGAAGATGTGGTAACATCAGCAAGCAGGCTGCAGTTTGCTTGTCTTTTTAGTGTTTGCAAGGTGCATTCGCTCTTCTTTGCCTGCCTGGCTTTGCTTTGCATTTAAGGGAAGATTACACGAAACATATTTTAGGCTAGTTGGTAGTGTTAGGCCAGTGGTGTGATTTTACTTTGTCTAGTCAAATACAAGTTAGACAGTTTCACAAAGATGAAACAAGGATTTTAGATCTAAAAATTAAAAAAAATAAAAACCCTATACACTGTCCTTCATTTAAGCTCACTTTATTAACATACTTTTTCAAGCTTTTTACAAACTTTCAACTGGGACAAACACAGCCAGTCAGAGGACACTGAGAACCTGAGGTCAGTGAGCCCCTCAGATACAAAATAATACAAAAAGGTACTAAAGCAGTGACAGCCCTCCTTCTGAAATTATAGTGAAAAAGGCTGCAGGATGTCAACATATAACCTGGTCTCAGATACATAGTACATCAATGCAACCACTTCTGTCTCATAAGAAAGCACTGAAAGCAAAAGAAGAAAAGTCTGTTTCTCCTGCACACCATTAATTTGGATGTTCTCTCTGTCTCCCCCTCCTGTATCCTCCCTCTGGACCTTCTTCACTCACCTCCACCTTTACTCCTTTCAGAGTGTAACTGCCACCCTCTGGGCTCAGAAATGGCCCAGTGTGACCGAGTAACAGGGGTGTGCGAGTGCCGGGAGGGAATAGTGGGGAAATATTGTGATGAATGTGCTCGCGGTTTCACTGGCGTTTTCCCCAAGTGTGTCCAGTGCCACCCGTGCTTCCAGCTGTGGGACGACATAGTGTGCCAGATCAAAAGAGACCTGGACCACATCCAGTACATTGTGCAGAAAATAACGGAGAGTGGGGTCACAACGGAAATCAAGGACACGCGCATCAAAGAGCTGGAGACGAAGCTGAAACAAGTGCAGGATCTGATCAGTACGAAGGACAGCAATAGGATCCACGAGCTAATTGGACAGAGCATCGATGACCTCAGGTGAGGAAGTCATACTGGTTGTTAAATATTCATTGTGTGCTGTGTGTTTTCACCATCTGCTGTGTGTGTTCCAGGGCTGAGATTGCCCTGACCGACGGACGTCTGATGGGCATCGCCCGAGAGCTAAATACAACAGCAGAAGATGACAAGGAACTGAGATTCACGTTAAATGACATGGGGAGAGAACTGAGGGACATCAACAGCACTTTGGCTAAAAAAAAACAGCTGCTGGATGACTACCGCACCTCAGGGTTTGCAGGTAGAAAACTGAAGTCAGTGAAGCTTACAAAAATACTAAACACATTCTGACTGAAAAACAAAGACTGAATAAATGTACAGTACAGTTAGTCATTATTTGTAGCTGGTAAACACAAGCACCTGTTCCTGTTTCCTCACAGATCAGTTCAAGAAAGTGAAAATGTACTATCAGGAGTCAGTGCAGGCTGCGGAGAAATGCAATGCCTCAGTGAGCGGTCCTCTCAGTCCGGTGGAACAGTCCAGAGAAACCCGCACTCTCACTGAAGGCCTGCTGGATGCCAGTAAAGACAAGTTCCTCCGTGCTCTCGCTGCTCAGAACAAATCATTAACAGATCTGGAGCAGAAAACCCATGACCTGAATAAGACGGTCCATGACCTCAGTGACAAGGTAGGCAGAGCTGGATATTGTGTTCATTTATTCATGTGATCGTCTGCCTAATGTTGTACAAGGAGTTAATCTTGTGTTAAAATGTTCCATAAAAATCTGGTTTCCTGATTTGTATAGGTTGCATGTATCGTCTGTTTATTCAGTAATTCATTGAGTCTGGTAAATGGAGAAACAGAATAAAAATGTGATTTTTTTTTTACTTTAGTTTTCATTGTGAAATGGAAAATATAATAAAACAAAAGGAAAATTAAAGCTTCTGTCCCAGGTTGAAATCAAACCTTCGACATCTTAGTTTTGTACCATAAGCATTCTGCTACTGGGGTGCTCCAATTACTTTGTTACTACCACATTTCTCCACCATGCAGAGTCAAATAAAAATGTGTAATGTAATATTTTAAGAGCTCATCAGAGGAGTACTGTTAACTTTGACTGTCAGGTTCATCAGTGAAAGAATGACCAAAACACATGAGCCTCTCCAGAATTGCAAGTCTCTTTAAAGGTGCACTGTGTGAGATTCAGTGACACCTAGCAGATTACAGATTGCAACGTTCAGCAAAGCTTTCGTACATGGTGTTCAAAAGCTCTCATGGGTGTCTCACAGTGACTACCGTAAATATAGGACAAATTGCACACTCAGCAAACATGTGTGGCTGGCTTGACCAAGCAAAAGCTAATTACTTACCTTACTGTAATGAAAAGAAGCCCAACCAAAAAGTGGATTGGAGCTGGTTTGATGGTTCTTTGCAATCTACAGCCCACTTCACTGCATTTAATCTTAAAACATTCTGTTTCTTAACGCGCTTTGCTGCTTTGATGACGGGGATTCACCGTCGTCCTTTTTCTTGTGTTAATGGTTAACTATCCTCAGTTAAACACATTATATTTCTTAAACACCCGACAGTGCTCCCTCTTGAGGTTACTTCTTTTCCCCTTCCAACCGTCTCAATCCAAGCTGCTATTTCCACCAGTGTGTGGTTTGTCTGTTCTGCGCTACTGTAAAAAACGTAGCAGCTCAACATGGTGGCCTCCACAACAGGAGACTCTCTCCTGTGTAGATAGGAAAGGCTCATTCTAAGCTAAAGAAAACACAACAGTTTTTATTTTCTGTTGATTATATATTAATGAAAACATAATTAGGCATGCTATAGCTCATTTCTGCTAATAAATCCTCAACCTAATTAATAATTGATGGATTGAAAATGTGAGAGTTTAGTGACCAACGCTGAATGTACTGTATTTCCAAAGTAAAGCCTATTAACCTCTGGCAACTCTTCCATATGTATTTTTATTTATTTTCTTATTCCATTGACCAAATGATTTCCATGAATTACAAATGACAGTGCACTGTTGCTCTCTGCAGGTATGTGGTGGTCATGCTGATACCAGCGTTAATGGCAGCTGTCCAGACAGCCAATGTGGCGGTGCAGGTTGCCGTGACGATAAGGGCAATCATGTGTGTGGAGGAGAAGGATGCGATGGGACAGTGAGCACTTCTGTAGAAGCACTGAATCATGCCAAGAATGTCAGCAGCAGTCTGAGCACTGCCAGTGAGGAGCTGCAGGGCGTCGCAAGAAAGGTGATGAAAGTGATGGTGCATCCTCTTCTCTGCCATGACTGGACACTGTAGCTATATAGCAAGTATAAAGTTTCTCTGCTGACTTGACATCATGGTTTCCTGTGTCCAGCTCCGGGACATAGCCTCACTGACACAGGATGCGAAGAATCAGGCAATGAATGCGCTGGAGAAAGCCCAGAAGAACAAGGACGACTTTGAGAAGAACAACAAGGAGCTCAAAGATTTTATTAAGAAGATCAGAGACTTTCTTACTGGTATGATAATCATGATGTTTCACCTGGCAATCTTTGAATGAAGTGACTTCTTGAATTATAAAAGTCAGACTTTTAAGCTGACATAACTGTCTAAACTGAGGGAGACATTATGTGTTCACCTGTTTCTGTATTTTGCACATGTTGTCTCCCTCTCCTACCTGCTGTCCAGAGGAGGGAGCAGATCCAGAGAGCATAGAAAAGGTGGCTCTGCAGGTGCTGTCGATAACGCTGCCGGTCAACAGGACCACTCTGGACAAAATGATCATGCAAATAAAGGACAGCCTTTCCAACCTCACCAGCACTGAGGAAATCATCAAACAAACCTCAGAGCACATCAACATTGTCAAGGAGCTGCTCAACAAAGCCAAAGATGCCAAGTAAGCAATTGTCTCTCAACATAAAGACCACGCTAAATTCCTTTCAGTTAGTTTAGCTTATTTTCTTTTGCTGTTCATTAGAAGTCCAACAGAGATTTGACTGCTGCATCAGGGGTCTATTATGCTTCAGTAGCAAGAGCAGCATCTCTTTTGTACCTCGCCCAGTACAATAGAGACAAATGGAGGATCCAAAGAACACACTGTCTGCAGTTTTCATGGGGACTGTGTTCCTTTGATGAAACACATGTTTGCACTCAGGCATGTGCAAAGTCAAATAAAAACATATCTTGGGGTATAATTACAGCATTTTATATCTGATCTCCTCTAACATCTGTCATTGGGTAGAATTGTGCATGCGTGGTAAGATAGAGCGTTCACTAGTCTCACTGCCCAGGACTAGCTGGTACCAATGCCTGTTGACAGACAAGAGCAAATCAATTTCCTGAGCTACTGCAGGGTAATGTTACCATTTTAAAGAGAATGAAACATGTCTCTTGCACATTTAAAATAATGTACTCATAGTTTAGTATTACGGTGACAACACAATGTTGCGTAAATATCACATTTTTCTTTTATAAGCCCTGCAAATATTCCTACAGTGTTCCTCTACTAATTGGATATTAATGCTGGCTATTATCAACATTTCTATATAAATAGTGGACCACATTATTACATATACAGTGCATGTATGTGAGAGGGTGTTTCTCATAGTAACAAACCCATAGATAATCATCGCCAGGCTGCAGTTCCCCCTCAGTGTTTTAGCATCTTTCAGCTCATTGTTTTGGTTTTACAACCCGTCAGTGATATTTTCAGATGTTGTCCAGCCCCAAACAGCAGACAGGTAAAGTTAGCAACTAGCTAGTGAATAAAGTGAAGCTTTTAGGGCCAGATATTTCTCTCAGCAGATAGTACAGACAAAGAGAAAAACATGGGACTTGTTGGGTGATTATGATGAATAATAATGTGTGTCTGCCTGCTGGATGCATAAATACATAGCTGAACATTTTCACTATATCACTTTAAAGGATTAGTTTGACAAACCTTTGCATTAAACCTAATAATGTATCAATGTATTTAGATCTTGTTTCTACTGCCCCCAAGTGGCCAAAATCAGTTTATGTAGGTGTCATATATTGAATTATTTTATGAATTTCTAAATGCACTACAGTATTTTAAAATATTTAACTCTTGATTTTTCTCTGTGATTCAGTGTTATATATAAAGATCTTAGGGACTGTTTGAAAAATATCTTCTGTGCATCTTTTACTGTTGACGTAACCACCATCAGTGAGTTTCCCCACGTGATGCAAAGGAACTTGTCGATGTTAGTTGTCACAAGTTGTAATGCACCTGCCAAACATTACCACTGTGACCAGAATATCCATCACACATGCATTAGGATTGCTACCTTTTGGTTTGGGGTTTAGTTGGTGCCAGCTGTCAGTCCTTTTACCCATTTTGTTTGCTTATAGTAATTTTAAAGTAACAGTGATTTTGAGTTTCTCATTACAAAGGACTGTAGTAAAAACGGTTTGTCTCTGTGTAATTTATGGTGGTGGCGTTGTGTAGGAGCCGAGCAGAGGAAGTCAAGGACACAGCCAATAATACCAAGCAGCTGTTGGATGAGTCTGAGAAGGCCGTAGAGAAAGCAAGAAGAGCTCTAAATGAGGCTCTCAACAACCTGAACAGCACAAGTAACACTGCTGCTGAGGTACAGCATGTTTGAAAATGAAGTCTGTGTGTGAAAGCTTATTAGTTGCAGTGTGTAAAACTGCAGGTTTCACATATTCATTTGATTTTAATGAGCAGCAGCTTGTTTTAAGTGCTGTTTTTTCTTTCCAGTATTAGAATACTATCCTCTCCCATGCTTCTCTATTTAGCCTCCTTTATTTTTAACTTATTTCTGGTTCAATTCCTTTTAGGTTGATAAGAGGCTGACGCAGCTGGAGGATAAACAGATGGATGCCATGATGCGTTTGAGCCGCCTCTCCATGGGAGTGGAAGCTCTGAGGAACAAGACGGAGCAGAACAGAGAGATGGCAAAGGACGCCCAAGCACTGGCAAACAACGCCACTCAACTTGCATCCTCACTGGAGCAAGTGAGTTTGTGGGCGGCAGGATGTGTTTGTACTTTTGTTTTCAATGTGTTTGTCAAGAAATGTATGAAGGGAAGCAAAAACTGCAGACTGTACTAGGATTTTTTTAATAAAGTGGAAGCATAGCTAACAATAGTGTGTGGTCTCCTAGAGCCTCAACGACACAGAGGAACGCTACCGTGAGCTGCAGATGAAGGTGGACTCTCTAGGTGGGAATGGAGGTCTGAACGACATTAACCAGAAGGCCATGGATATGAAGAAGGAGGCAGAATACCTCCTCGAAAAGGCCAAGAATGGGACGCAAGAACTCGAGAGTGAGTACATGAAACTGCTCTCTGACAATCTCTTCACTGGGGGGGGCTTCGTACGGTAAATTTTGGCCATTCTCTATAATTAGCACAACTTCCCTGTGAGGAAATCCTTTGCATATTAGGTGATGCAATGAAACATGATTAAATCATGTAAAGAGGAAAGTGGAATAAATTATTATTAGGCTAAATCAGAGGTTTTCTACAGAAGAGGATTGGGGCCACTGACGTTTTTTCTCTGAATTCTGAGAAAATTTTGTACTGTGGCCCTAATCCTCTTTCATAGTTTTCAGACTGTGGTCTGTGGGAGAACTGAAGGGGAGGTGCAGAGGGAGAGACATTTTACTGGTTGCCACAGCTGCCCCCCCTCCCAGCTTCTGGTGAATAAACCATGGTGAACTGGAGAAAAGCTATGCAGTGTGTTTTAATTCTGATTGACTTGCACTGGTCTGCATCTCGCTGTGTGTGTGTTTCAGGGAGAAATCATATGATATTCCCCTCTGTCTTTGTACCTTATGATTTTCATGGATACCTAAATAATACCTTAATGGTATTCAGCTGCAGAGTTTCTCCTGGTGTTGCCCATTGTGAGCCCTGTCTCACTGCCTGTGGTTGCAGGGCTGGAGCAGAAGCTCAAGCAAAATGAGCAGCGGATGCTGGAACAGCAAATGGAGCTGGACGGGCTGAAGGAAAACGTTACTGTGATACGTGATAAGATCCGGGAACAAGTGCAAAAGTACAGTAACTGTCTGTAACCGTGGGGAAGTTACAGTTACCAGTTTGCTGCTGTAGTCCAGAGGTGACGGGTATTGAGACTGGAACAGAAAACTACATCATCCAAGAAAATAAAAGGTACCTCCATTCTTCCACTGGTGTTTCAAGTTTTACACATTACCTGTCAAGTGTTATCAGAGAAATGTCTTCCTCTGTCCATGTACTGTACCACTTTTTGGCTTCTCCTTAACACTAAACTGTGGTGTTTGTATCTTTAAGCTACTGCAACAAGTGGATGACCTGTGTTTGTTTCATTTTATAGGCCATGACAATTGATTTCATAGCAAATATGTCATCAGAAATGTCGCTTTTACCAAAAGTGCTTTTGATATTTTGTGTTTTTGCTGTAATTGGACTATGATCATATGACATTTACATTATGACATTTAATTAAGAAAAATGTGATAGCATTTAATTTTTGATATTAAATTATTTTCATTACAATACAAAGTCTTGATTAAATACATATAAAAACATTCACAAGTATCCTTGTAAGCAAACCTAATTTTGAGGTGTGATGATGAAGACCAATAAATGTGATAGCTTCTCTTAATTCTAAACGCCCCGTTTGTGTGATAAGGTGTGCAGCATTTGTTTTGTCAGTTCATTGTCACAAGGGGGAGCCCAGTGTATTCTCAAGCTTAAACCTGTTGGTAAACTCGGCTATAACCATATCTCAGAAGAAAAAACTGCTTATAAGAGCACAAGGGTGCTGCCTGTCTTGTTATTCTGGCAAATCCATATGGCAGCTTGACATTATATATTGTCAATTTAAATAGGTCACAGTTTAAATATTGCATCATATGCAGCTGTCTTTATTGATTTTTAAATGCTCAGAAATATGTTCCTGTTATTCTTAGTACAGCCCTTCTCATTTTATAGCGGCGAAAACTCATGGGCAACCAATAATATTAAGGGTATTAACGGTATACACCAATCAGCCATAACATTATGACCATCTGCCTAATATTGTAAAGGTCCCTCATTTGCTGCCAAAACAGCTCTGACCAGTTGAGGCATAAACTCCACGAGACCTCTGAAAATATGCTCTGGTGTCTGGCACCAAGACATCAGCAGATCCTTTAAGTCCTGTAGTTATGAAGTGGGGCCCTCATAGATCAAACTTGTTTGTCCAGAACATCACACATATTCCCGAATGGACAGAGATCTGGGAAATTTGGAAACTAAGTCAACATCTTGAACTTGTTGTGCTCCTCAAACCATTCCTAAACCATTTTCTGCAGTGTGGCAGAGTAAATTAACCTGGAATACTGTTGTCATGAAGGGGTGTACTTAGTCTGCAACAATATTTAGATAGGTAGTATGTGTCAAAGTAACATCCACATGAATGGCAGGACCCCAGGTTTCCCAGCAGAACATTACCCAAAGCATCACAACGCCTCTGCCAGCTTGCCTTTTTCCCATAGTGCATCCTGGTGTCAGCTATTCCCCAGGCAAGTGACGCACACACACCCGGCTGTTCACATGATATAAAAGACAATGTGATTTGTCAGACCAGGCCTCCTCCTTCCATTGCTTTGTGGTCCTGTTGTGATGTTCCCATGCCCACTGTAGGTGCTTTCAGCGGTGGACAGGGGTCAGCAGGGGCACTCTGACCGGTCTACAGCTATTGAAGCCCCATACGCAGTAAGCTGTGATGCGCTGTGTTCCGACACCTTTCATCAGAACCAGCATTACGTTTTCCAGCAGTTTGTGCTTCAGTAGCTCTTCCATGGGATTGACAGCACGGGCTAGGCTTCACTTCTCACGTGCATCAGTGAGCCTTGGGCATCCATGACCCTGTTACCAGTTCACTATTTGTCCTTCCTTAGACCAACAAATCATTCATGTTTCTAGCTGCAGCTGTGAATTTCCTGCTATGGGCAGTCAAAACACAGGCTGTTTAGAAGCCTTCCTTAGACCAACAAATCATTCATGTCTCTAGCTGCAGCTGCGAATTTCCTGCTATGAGCAGTCAAAACACAGGCTGTTTAGAAGGCTCTAACAAACCTACACGGCTGTTTTCACCTAATTCGACTGGTTACACTTCTACTCAAGACTGTGGGGGCGAGAACAGCCTGTGCTTGAGGGAAATTTCAATGACTCTCCTGTTATGTACAAGTGAGGAGTGGCTCTAATCAATATTTTTATGTTAAATGCATTAAAAGGTTAAAGGGGCCACTCATAGTGATGGATCCACAGAGAATTATCAGCTGACTCGGCAGTTCCCCTCATGAACCTGTTAGGTCGTATGTAGCCCAGCTCATTGTCTTGGTTGTCCTGCAGGTAGGTTTTCCCCTGAAGCTACACCCCCTGAACACACACACACACACACACACACACACACTTATTTACGCAGTAAGTGCCACAGTGGACACATACTGTACTCAGTGGTTAATAATAATTAATTAATGGGCTAAGAAGAAACAACAGAAGTTCTGCTGCACTGTATTTCTATTTTTAAACTTTCTTCTCAGTTTTGTTTTATTTGGGAATATCGTATAATTTTACCTCCTCAGTCGGTTAAATAAAAACATTTACGTAACAGTCATAGAGGGTATATAAGTCTTTGGTCAATCTTTTACTGCACATTGTCTTATAAATGGATCATAGGTTTATTTGATGTAAAATCTTAATCCCAAACTAGTGGCTGTCAGATAAATGTAGTGGAGTAAAAAGCACATTTCCTTCTGAAACATAAGCCTGCATAAGCCTATAGCTAGACATACCCAGGGAAAGTACACGCATGTCAGATTGTTCCTAAATACAGTACTTGAGTCAACTTTGCTTACACCTTTATCATTCTCACTAGTATGTAGGTTGGTGACCTCATTGGATTCACAGATCAAATATAAACTACATAATTGTATCTTCTTCTCAAAACAGACTTATTGTAAGTCCTGCACCAACCGCCTGCTGGATGAAGCTGATGTTTGCAGTGTGAGCACTGAGCCAGGAGATGTGATCTGCATTGGGTGCAATCAAAGGGAACCTAATCCGTCTATCCGTGAGCGCGCATTTTTTTTTTGCACAGTGCGCACACGGGCTCGTCGGAAAACATGCAGTGGATTTATAGAGGAAAACCTGGAGGAGAATCGAATTTTCAAAAAATAAACGAGTGTACTACAGCGACAACTGTCAACGCGTCATCGCTGTTTATAACGCAACTTCTTTGGACCTCTCTGTGCCAGTGCCAGCAGTGAGCTGTAGGCTTTACCAAGTTTAGCTCGTATTCATCTGAAGTACTGCTGTGGCCAGATGAACTGGAGGACCATGACACTACCACATGCTCCAGATGTGTTTGACCTGATGTAACGTAACACCATTAATAATTTAAGTGAATACTGTCATTGGCCAGTTGTTTTCTATTACTGAATTGTCAACAACTAGGTGACTTGGAGTGGCCATTACTTTAAAACTATTTTTCCAAAATGTTTACTTCTGCCCCAGAAGTAGATACTGTGACAACTTTTCCTTTATTTGGTTTGATAAATTATTTTCACTATTGATTTAATCACATGATTTAAATTGACACAATTTTTTCCACTTTATTTGAGACAATTAATATGCATATATATGATAAAAGGGCCAAATACTCTACGTTTACTTTTGATGTGTAATACTTACCTAATAATACTTCTACTGGGCTGTATTGGTACTATGAAGGTTTTGAGTACTGCTACTCCTGCTCTTAACTGAGTGATACTATAGGGAAGTAACGGGCCTATTCTTAGTACCTTGTCATTTCTCCGCCCACCCGGGGATGTGAACCGACGACCTCCCGGTCAGCATGTCCGCTGGTTCCCCCGTAGCTCGCCCCACTGGCCGTGGCTCCCCCCCGCGGCCCGCCCGCTCCGCTCCGGTAGTCCAGCTCGGGGTTTCAGGCGCAGAGGCTCAGGAGCTACAAACTGCTCCGTTCTCGTCCCGCAACTCTGCAGCAAGTGGATCAGAAGGGGAGATAGTTTGATACACAACACAGGAGCGAACATTAACGGTGAGTAAAACCAAGCAAATAGAGTAGCGCGCAGGGCAGCTGTTAGGATTTGGCCTTAAGAAGTCCCGACTGAGAGGAGATGCCTTTTTTACGGTTCAAATAGTACACGAGATCTCACCAAACCAGTCGTGGAAACTGATAGTGAATTTAAAAACGGACGGACAACTGTCTTAGGAACCTGTTAGTGCCCCTGACCCCTGTACTGGGGGCTTAAAAGTTGTAAAAAATAAAAGGCCAATTTAACCCAAAGTGTGCGCTCTCCTGCATGGACTTCTGCGTGGGGGATTAAAACTTTAAATCGGCATAAATTGCTCTGTAGTATATGATGTGCAGGTCAATATTTCACAGTTCTCTTCAACACAGACTGTTGCATGCCACAGGTTTGCTGCAGCACCGCGGGTGGATGTGCGCACAGAGATGCAGGCCTCACTGGTAGTGCTCCTCATCGGTAAGTGGACTGTACACCGAGCGCTTTAAAGTCATACCATGTTTTCTTTCTGCTTATCAAATCCTCAGGAGCCATTTAGTGAACATGTGTGAAGGCTGACAGATGTTCACTGATCAGTGCTTAGAAAACAGGGACCTATACATTCACGTTAAGTCTGTAGATGTTGAGTTGAAGTCTTATATTTCTTAAAACAAAAGGCCACCCAGATGATTTAAGGAGACTGCACCTGAGAGTTATGCTCATAGTAATGAATTCAGTATCCTGACACTTGCTTCAGAAGATCCCATCAAATGAGTATGCTTTGAAAAAATAACCCCCCACTGATAGAGGTTTTCAGTTGTTTTCAAGACAGAAGGCATTTTAACCCAGGAAAGAGACTACTTTATCCTTAAGGATGTCTGTTATATGTAGTGTAATGGCAGAGGAAAAGAAAAATCTTTTCTTACTCTTCACTGTTTGTTTTCGTATACAAAACTGTTTGGAGCATTTATATAGGCTACTGTATGTACTTTTGCCTTTGTTGGTCAAAGTCACTTCCAGAACAGACTTTGATGTAACGTCTCAAGTAGAAACAGCTGCCTGAACATGATGGGAGTGTCGGACCCAGTGTCTCCCTGCAGAGTTAAGATAGCCGATGTTTCTTTTTTAGGGCCCCTGGTGCCCTCTGGTTCTCCTGGGGGTGGGGGGGGGGTTTCGTCGTCCTGAAACAGCCCAGCTGAATCCACAAATAGAGACATCCACTCCACACATACCTATATCACTGCTCAGGACCCTTCTGCATGTGTGTGTCTGAGCCTTTGTATATAAGAGTGTGTGTGTATGTGTGTGTGTGTGTGTAGGGGGGGGCGGGGGGGTGACCGGAAATTAAAATATTTAAACTCAGTATCTGATCAAGGCTTCCGTTTAACAGACCCTTTGTGTGTGTGTGTGTGTGTGTTTTTTAAAGAATCTCAATTAAATCCAGAAAATGACACTGAAAAGCTCTGAAAGTCGTCACTGTTGCTGTCAGACGCCTGCACAATCCAAGTGCGTGCTGTCAGTGAGCTACAGAGTAATGACCCTCAATAAAATGCATCCTAGTGCACGGTCTCCTGGAGCTAAGAGACAATGGGCTCACTGGTGCAGTTAAAGTCCATTAGTGGCTGCTGTTAGCACCCAGGGTGTCTCACTGATCACAGCTGCAGCTCTCTGTGACGTCTGACAAAGCTTGACAAGGGTTTGTTTTCAGGGTTTTCTAAAGTTTATTTTATAGATTTAAAAAAAAAAACATTTTCAGCACTTTGCTGTTGTTGTTGATGCCCCGGATAAATTCAGAACTTTAAAATAAGCGCTCAATGCATGGAAAGCCTACACTGTAACAAGATAGTAGTAGGAGGGTACAGAGCCAGAGACTTATTTTTAGTTTTGCCATTTCATACCCACGTAAACTAATTGTATTTTGGGCAAGTTCTTCACAAGAAAAGAGAGAAATGGGGATGACATGCAACAAAGGTCTGAAAGTGGGGATCATGGTCAGTGCTTTCATGTCTTGGCCAACTGAGCAGCACCAGCATGAGCATCTGAACTAATCAGGGTTTAACGACATTGGTGTGAGAACGGACAGCATCCAGAGTTGTTTCAGTTCACACACGGTCCTGATGAAGCAGTGTGTTTTTAATCATCAATGTTCAGGTTTTTGCCAGTTATTGAAAGAACAAATGTTTTCAGCAGGTTTTTTTTGGCATAAACTGAGGATTTCAGTCTAAGATTTTCTTTGTTGGTCTTTAGCTTCAACTGTGTCCTGTGTTAACATTTGTCAGTGGCTTTATGAAGAACAACTCATCTCCAATTAGCCACAGTTTGCCAAGAACTGATCTGGCTTTTATCTCATCTTGGAACCTCAGTGTTGAACTCAGAAGCCCATTCATCTTCTAAGATAACAAGCATTTACTGCAGAAGTTAAGAAAAAAACAGACTGGAGGCGTCTGAGTGGTCTGGGACAATTTTTAAAACGTTTATGGAAAGGAAATAAGTCCAAAAGAACCAGCTGAGAGTGTAGTAGAGGAAAAGCAAAGGAGGAAATGAGTTTTAGAGTGGAACGTGCCTGATG